CACGGTCACTGTCACGACCCACTTTTTATTACTCGGAGTCATTACCAAATTCTTTAACTTAATCCAATTTCAGAGATAACATGCGGAAATAAACTCATACATTCAATCCGTAGAAATGATTAACATTACTCTCATTCGTATGCAAAGTAATCATTACATGAACTAACTTAATAAATTGCCCTTGGGCTTACATCATTAAAAGTACAAGAAGAAGGGTGTAACCCTTTACAACAATGGCATTCCGCCAACATAACTAAGGCCCCGTGGCCAACATATAAGAAGATCCAAATCTTGTAGCACACCCTGCTAAACACCTGAAAAAGATTCAACAACGTGGGATGAACATATAAAATTAAAAATGGAAGTCTATTCAAGAAACCACTATACCTTAACGATCTATTTGGAAATTGAGCGGAGAGACCAAAACCTGGGCAAAATTTTCAAAGCTTTAAAACACAACCAACTAATTCCCAACTTGCCCAACACAACCCAAAACTCTAAAACAAAGAGTAAGGGATAGAAATGAGGATAAGACAACAACGAATCTACGGAACTGAGTCCATATTATAGATATACAACAACAGGGAATACCGGGATCGCTATAGTCACATCCAGCAAAATGTGAATGGTCTAAATTAACACATCAATATCAATAGCAATGTTATGAATTGGCACACCTACAAAAATCTATGACACATATTCGACGTTACATCACAATATTGGGAAATAGAACACCCAAACATGGCATCATTACGGCCTACAGCCCGATACATTAACATTTGGCTTTCACTCCAACCCAATATAGTCAATCACCCCCCCAAACATGACGGATATTGACACAAACATACACTAATGTCACAGTACCAACTACATTTACACTAGCAATTAGAAAAGACAAACGAGAAGTTTCCCCTAATGGCACGTTGCGAATTACATTGGGGAAATGTGTGACGACAACAACAACACCCAAAATCAACATACAAAACACAAAATACACACTCAAAATCAATAAAATGGACAAATATTCCAATCGCATAAACTGCACATCTGGGAGTTTCATTGTCATCTTGATCAAAGACGGAAATGGCTGAAACGGCGGTGTACGGTGCAACGAACACTAATGTCCGTCACTGTTGAACGAATCACCGGAAAAGATGACACTAAGCTTCATCATGCACAGCCCAACATTCTCCTGTTGAGTGTGCGTCGCGCAGATGTTCGACCGATTAGGGTTTCTCCCAAAACACGAACATCGAATTCGTACAATCTTTCTTCAGGAATCCAAATACCACATTTAGGGTTTCAATCCACCAATATGACAATGTTGAAATGTGGAAATGTTGATTACCAATGTTTCATCATACAGATTCAAAGATTCGATCAAAAACGTGGGAAAACTATAAACACACCCAAACCCCAAACCCCAAACCCCAAATTGCTATGTGCTATGTGCTATGTCCAAAAAAGTAATTTTAACACTACTCAAACCCCAAATTGCCCTTATCCCAAAACATAAACACACGCATGATTAAGAACAAATGTGCAATTTTGTACGTTTCAAGACTTTTTGGTTCAACAGAAAAGAAGCATGACTAAATGGTGCACAAGTTCATCATTTAAGATTTATTGGTGCTTCACACTAAAAATAAATGTTCCATCAATTTTTTCACTTACAAAAAGTTTTTTTTAGTAACTAGTTTTGAACAAATTACACCAGTAAATATTTTAGCTATTGTGTCATTTTAGTTCTTTTAATTTTAATTGGTTCATTTTGATCTTAAATTTATAATTTTGTCTTAATTTGGTCTAATTAATTACAATTATTAGTGTTTTTAAACGAAAATATGTAGATAAGCAACATGTATTATGCTTTAATAGAAAAAATTATTAACTTGTTTAACTCAATCAATTAATATCCATCTAGTGATTAATTTTTTTTAAAAGTATTATCAATTGAATTAAATTAATACAAAATTTAAAATTAAAAATTAAAATTGAATTGATTGAAATTACAACGACTAATAAAATGACATAAAAAATAACATATAAGACTACGTACATAATTTATCCTCACTTTTTTTAAACTCTTTCAAAAATCAAAAAATAAAAAACTAAATGCCCACTAAACGCAACGCCCACTACCCCACAAGAAGACTTGAGAAAATCTAAAAAGGTAAAGAAAAGAAGAAAGACAAAAAGAAAATGTTTGACATAAAAAAAAATTATAATTATATTCACAATAATATGATATTATATATGTTAATTAATTAATTTATTATATATTTAATAATATAGAACTCTATCCTTTTACAATATTGTTGTGAGTGAATTTATAAATTAAAAGGGTGAGTTTATTACTTTATTCTGGACAAAAATAGAGAAGAGTGCAAAAAAGAGAAAAAGGAAGCTTAGTGAGACCTTCCTAGTCATTCCCTAGTCAGAAAAGAATCCACTACAGTCCACAGTACATTACGCAGAAAGCCACTCACAAGATTTACAAGATTGACTAATGAAAAAATCAGAGCATATGAAGAAGGAACTTCTTCTTGTATATACACACATATATGCATATTCTCAATTGAAGGATACAAAAATATAATCACAATGGAATATTAACAACCACACGAAACTTCCGTTCTCCTGTGTCTCAACCACTTGTTGGTATTTTAATTGGGAAAATTATTTAGTGATTATAAAATAATATTTGATATTGTTTATCTAACATTTTTGAGAAATGAAAAATTGTGAAACTCATTCAAGAAGCGACTATCTTAATTAATTTTTTTAATTTTTTATAAAAAGATATATAGAAAAATAAATAGAATGATGTGATAACTTATAATAATTTTTTAGTTATATTAATAAAATACCAAACAAAATCTTATTTTATTAATTACTTATGACCTAACATTATTCTATGTGCGAAAGTTTTTGCTATATCATTGGTTAGAAACATCAAGTATCGGTATCATGGCCTAAATACACTCCTTCCATGGCCGAACACCTATCATAGCTGAACTCCTCCACTCATGGCCAAACACCTAAATACATCCATGACCAAAACCTATGGCCAAAAATCATAGATCTAAAACCAATTTCTTTGCAGATACTTGAACAACAAAACTCGCTCTTGAATGTAGTCATTGAACACCCCTTTGGACAACAACTCACTCTAGAATGAATTTGATGAACACTAGTGCTATAATGAAACACCCTAAGCCAAACACCCTACTCCACCGATGACTGCAGCTCCCTCTTTATCAACCCAACGCCGACCTCTTCTTAGTCGATCAAAATACTGACTGCCATAGAGTTGAATGGAGTTCACCTCTCCAACTCCCATACACAGGAACGCCTAAAGGAACATTCTAAACAAATCTAGATCGTCCACCCCTCAAACTCCCACTCACATGTGTAGATGTGAGTAGCAGTCGTAAGGATAATTTGTATTTTTTAAATCTCTCTCGATACATTTTATTTTCCTATATTTATAATTTCATATTTTTAATAAAATTTTCACTTTATTGATAGAAAAAAATGTTATATGATACTCTCATGCTATTGAATTATTATCTATTCATAAAATGTTCCCAATCGATTGAGAAGTTATTTGACAATCACGAGATATTTACCTACGTCAGCCACACCATATGCATAGCTCTCAAAAACATTAAGATAGGATAGAAAACAGTCACCAAACATGCCCAAAAGAAACACAATTTGTTAAGTAATTTTGAAATAATCTTGTTTAAAATTAAAATAAATTAACATATTTTTGAAAAATATGATTTAAGATTAAAAAGTATATTATGTAAATCATTTTTTATTTTAATTTTAAACATAAACCGTTAAAATTATATTTCATTATTGTACGAACACAAAATTTTGGTACTTGCATAATTCTGTTGATCAAGCTTGCATTCCTCCGAACGTCGTCGTATGGCCTGAAATCACAAAAACGTTAGCTAATTGGCGGGTGTGTCGGAAATCCCTCCGATGCTTAAGTCAGCAAATGGGATCAACAAAAAGGAAAATCTAGGTAAATTCAGGAACTAAGATTGCAAAAAAAAGAAAATCTAGGTAAATTCATAAACTAAGATTACAATACCTGATATTAGGTTAACTTTGAATTTTTATAAGTTTCGCATGACATAGTCCTAATAAGATTCTAAGTTTCCTTAGTAGAATCCTATTAGAAATCACATTCTTAAAAAGATGTGACTTATCCTTTCACACTCCGATCACTACAAGCCAAGTGATATGGAACAATTCTTTGCCCGACTTTCAACCGAGCAACATAACTCTTTTAACCTTGCTGGTTCTTGAGTTAACTAAGTAACGCGCATCGCCGTACTATCCCAACGCAGCACGCCAACTTGTTACATTGCGCGGCACTCAACTTAGCCCGGTTAACACCATGCACCTAATTGCACTTGACCAGTTTCCTTAGATAGCTCGGTCCACTCACATGTCTTGGACGAAGTTTGTCAGGTCAATACAAGCAACACATTTGATCGGTTTGACCTCTGCACAACCTAAGTCGTGGAGTATTTCAATCCAATCTATAGCCTAGCTGGTATTAAATGCCTGATTTAGTCCAACTTATATCACGGCATAAATTTCCCTCTCAATTATGTATTTTTCTATGATCAAGAAAAAAATACATTAATTTTTTTATATAAATAATTTTTACAAATAAATAAACAAATGATTTATTATCAAATAATAATTTTTTACTCTCTTGCGACACGCACACGGACACGCGCCTTTCTCTCAATGGTAGGCTACTAGCCAACACATGGAGCCACCAAACATGCCCAAAAGAAACACATATATACCATCTCAAGTGTCTTTCTTGCTTGTAGACCAGTTGCAGCAAAGTGTAATTTTCCTCTCTTCGAAGACTCAAAAGCTCTCTCTCTCTCTCCTTATTTTTCTTTCTCTTGATCTATGGATACTGCTCAGTGGCCACAGGTAAAGAAGCATTTTTTTCTCTTTGAAATCATGACATCTGCTTTCTTGGGTCTTGGGTTGGGGTTTAATTTCAAGGCTAATTTTGAATTATTTGTACTTTTGGGTTTTGAGAATTTTTTTCTTGTTGATGGCTAGTTTTTAAAGGCAACTTTTCTAAGAGATGATGTTGTTGAGAGCAGCCCCCACTAATCTTTTGAATTTATGTCGAAGATCTTTCATTTATGTTTCAAAGTATTTACCCTTCTTTTCTTTTTCTTTTCTTTTTTTTTTTTTTTTTTCTTTCTTTTTCTTTCTTCTTTTTCTTTTCCCACCATCTGATAAAAGGACCCAAATCCAAAAAAGCAAATTAGAATTTGTTTTTATTGCTGTTGTAATCTTCAAACTGTAAAGCAGTTGCTTTTGTTTTCTCTATCTTGTTTGTTTGTTGCTGAGTATATTACTTTCCTTCACTTACCTTTTTCTCTACATAAATTTGTTTTTGACAGCACTTTTGTTTTTGATCATGTAGAGTACTATAGAGTCATGGGTTTTTTTTGCCCCCCTTTTGTTTTTAGCATTTTGTTTCTTGTGTTTTCATTTTCAGGGGATAGGAGTGGTGAATTTGAAACCCATGGAAGGAGGCTCAAGACCAGCCATAACTGAAAGGAGGCCAAGGCCACATATAGAACAAGCTTTGAACTGTCCAAGGTGCAATTCAACTAACACAAAGTTTTGTTATTACAACAATTACAGTCTCACTCAACCAAGATACTTCTGCAAGACTTGTAGAAGGTACTGGACTGAAGGTGGATCTCTAAGAAATGTTCCGGTAGGTGGAGGTTCAAGGAAGAACAAGGGATCAGCATCATCATCACCAGCTTCATCAAAGAAGATTCATGATCTGACCCCACCAAGTTTTTCTCAAAACCCTAAGATCCATGATGGCCAAGACCTAAACCTAGCTTACCCACCAACTGCTAGTGATTACAACAATAGCATCAACAACCCTAATGCTACTACTGCTAATTCATCTCATGTTTCAGCCATGGAGCTTCTCAAGAGCACTGGAATTGCTTCAAGGGGGCTGAGTTCGTTCTTGCCTCTGTCCATCGCCGACACGAATAATACAATCTACCCATCTGGGTTCCCTGTGCAAGAATTCAAGCCAAGCCTTAATTTTTCACTAGATGGGTTTGAAAATGGGTATGGAAGTTTGCAAGGGGTTCAAGAGACTGGTAGTAGTGCGAGGCTGTTTTTCCCATTTGAGGACTTGAAGCAGACATCAAACACAGCTGAATTTGAGCAGAATAGAGGAGGGCAAGGAGGAGGAGGAGAGGGTACTAGTGGGTATTGGACTGGGATGTTGGGTGGAGGGTCCTGGTGAGAAAATAATTGAAAATGGCAAGCAAAAACACTTAAAAGAAAGTTGGTATTTGGTGTTTCTTTTACTTCCACTTGGCGATACTGGTAAGGTACTTCCTTGGGGTTTGATCATAAAACTAACAGATAGGGTAAATAAATGAGTTTTTTTTTTTTTTCTATAATCTTTTGTTTTGTTTTTTGTTTTTTGTTTTTTGTGTGTTGTTCTATGTTCTATCTGATATATATATATATATATATTTGTACCTTCTTTTCCTTTCTACTCTTTTGATCAATGTGAATGTTTGAAGCTTTTTTTAGGTTGGCTTCACAATGTTAGCATGAAATACTGTCTTGAGATGAGATGGAAAAGAGTAATGAGGCCAAGAAAGCTTCATCTTTGTTTCTCCAGGTGCTTCATTTTCAAGAAAATTGCTGACTCTTACCGATGACCTCTCAAGTTTGCAAGAAATCAAAGAGTACTACCTAGTTTGTATATGTATTTGGCTTCATAGGTGAGGAAAATAATCGTTAAGTTTTAGAAGTAGCAAGGGTTTGGTTTTTTTTTTTTAAATTGAATTTTTTAATTTTCGTATTTTTTTTTATTTTTAGTGAATATTTTTAAAATTTTAAATATATTTATTTATTTTTTTAGATGTTTTTAAAAATTAAAAAATTTGTGAAAAATATTTTTAAAAATTAATAAATATATAAAAATATAAAAAATATATTGAATTTTTGTATTTTTTGTATTTTTGGTATTTAGTAAATTTTTAATTTTTTTTTTAATTTTTTAGGTATATTTATGTTAAGTATGTCTAAAAATTAAAAAAATTGTTTAAAATATTAAAAAAATTCAATAGAAATAAAAAAATAAGAAAATATAATTTTTTGAAAAGTATTTTTGAAAAATGATAATCAAGTATATGTGTTTATCAAATGTTACATGTTTGTGGTGTGAATTAGATTTATTTTGGATGTCATTTTTATAAATTTAAAAATTGAGGGTATGTTTGGTTTGGTTTTGTTTTAGGAGAGTTTTAGGAGTAATTTTTAAAAGTTGTTTTGGGGAGAGTTTAGAAATTTTTTTGGTTTGCTTGGTTGTGTATTTTGGAAGTAGTTTGGGAGTTTGGAATGATTTGATATTTTGTTATAATTGAATAGATGTGTGAGAGAAAAAATGATTGAGAATTAGAGAAGAAAGAAAAAAAGTGTGTGAAAGAAAAAGTGATTGAGAATAAGAGAGAAGAGAAAAAAAATGATTGATTGATAGGTAAGAGAGTGATTTTGAAAATTATTTTGAAAAATTTACAAACTAAAGAAAATTTTTAATTTTTTTTTTTTCAAAATCATTTTACAAATTCAAACCAAATATAGCTTGAATCTTTTTACTTGTATTCTGAATACAAAATATTTATTTGGTTAGGATTATGTTGTTTTAATAATTTTTTAATTTTTAAATTAAAAGTATTACAGGCTAAACAAGACCTTAGAAAGGGGTTAATCTTTCGTTTGGTATTTGATTATGGTAGTTAATAATTTTATGTTGGAATTTTTTTAGTCTCGTTTGATTTTTATTTTTGAGTTTTTTTCATTTTTATACGAGAAAATATAATGATTATAATTTAGATATGATATTTTATTTTATTGATTTATATAATGTATTTTATCTTTTTTATATTTTTTTAGTCTCACAATGAAAATTAAATGAGGACTAAGGCTAAATTTGGCATAATACAAAAAAGTTAAAAAATCACTATCTTATTTAAATCACATCATCTTATTTAAATTACATTATCTCTTTACTACATCATTTCAAACTCAATTCATATATAAAAAATTAAAAAGAATATTTATTTAGATCACTTCAAACAACTCTTAAATTTAGGTGTGGACTGGGTTTTTTTTGTTTGAATATGTCTTAGCCTCCGTTTGGGAAGTGGGTTGGCTTTTTGGCTTTTTTGGCTATTTTAGCCTGGGCTTAAAAGTTTGGTTTGGGAAGGGCTTTTTGGCTTTTTGGTTTTTTTAAGTTTTTTTGTGAGAGAAAAATGTAATGATTATGGGTTGGATGTGATGTTTTGTTTGTTATGGCTAAAATAGTCTATTTTGTCTTTTGTGGCTGAAATAGCTAAAAAAGTCCAAGAACCAACTTGCCAAACAGAGGCTTAGATGAGCTGGAATATTGATGGCTTTCAATCCTTTCCCACCAAAGGTGCTTTTTTTTCTTTTAATTTCTTATTGTTTGGCAAACACACAGGTCAGGACAGTCAGGTCTTATCAGCACTTTCTTTGTCTTGAGAGAGTTGAATAGATTCTTCTAGCCATTAAACTGAAGCAACCTTCATGAAGCAAAGTATGGGTGTGTTTGGTTAGGAGATTAGGGAAATTATTTATTGCGCAGATTATAATTTAGAGGAAGTATTCAATTTGATATTTGTTGTTTTTTTAGTCTGTTAAATATGGAGTTCGGTCAGACTTTTTATTTCTTATATGGGGGATTATATTATCTTGGGGTGTTTGGTCGGACTCTTCATTTTTTATATGAGGGATTATATTATCCTGAGGTGTAGAACAATTTTAAAGGGATTATTTATTATTGGGATTAGGTGATAAAATAATTATTTTAACTATTTATTATTTAATTATGTATTATATTTAGTAAAAATTAAATAAAATTTAAATGGTTCAATTTAAAAATAAAATAATTTTATTTAACTTTTTATTGATATTTTATTTATTTATTTTTTAAAATAATTTTTTATCGATATTTTATTTTAAAATTTTGTTTATGTTTTATTTAATTTCATTATTTAATTATTATTTTTAAAAACAAATTTATTTAAAATTTTAATTAAAAAAATAATATATATTTTTATTGATATTTTATTTATTTTATTTAAAAAAAATAAATTTATTTAATTGTGTAAAAAAAATAAATTTATTTAGTTGTGTAAAAAATAAAATAAAATAAATTTTTATTTAATCTAATTAAAAATAATTAAAAGGATAAAAAAGGATAAAAGTCTTTTGCTCATTTAAAATATGTTTAATATTGCTATTACTAGATTCTTTAAAAATAATTTTTTTTAGACATCTAATCTCATGAAAAAATAAATATAGGATATATATTCAATCTAACCAAATAGAGCGGGGGATTCATAGTTTCAGGATTCAAATTCAATGGATTCTATTCCTTTTTATTTAGTTCGTTTAATCAAACACACCTAAAATATGTATGTAGACCAATATATATAATCACACTACACAGCTAAGTATGAAGCAGGTGGTAGATCACTTTTATGAGAGATTTGCTTTAGGAATTCAATATCACATAATAATCAAGAATTTAAAAGACAACCTTACTTCTAATTAATTACTTGAATTTATAATTGAAAATGAAATTAATAAGAGTAATATTACATTTGTCACTTCAAGTTTTACAATATTATTGGTATAATGGGAGATTTTGATTCTTTATTTTATTTATGTAATGGAAGATTTTGCATTTTATATTTAATAGTGTAATGAAATATGAATATAATTTTATAATTATTTTAAATTAAAAATATCATTACACTCATCATTAAATAATATAATGCAAACTTTTCATTACATTATAAATATACAACTGGGAGAATCATAATGTGTGTAATGAATTTTATTATTCATGTCTATCTTTAATGCAATGTTGAATGTGAGGTGATATAAAAATGTGGTCTTTATTTACAATTAATTTCTTCTTCTTATTTATTTTGTAGTTTCCCCTTCAAAATAAAATAAAATAAATAAAAAAAGGAAAATTAATTGCAAATAAAGTTGTAAAAGAAGACTAGTAAAAACTGTATTAATTGCAAATAAAATTGTAGAAAAGTAGTAGCGAAAACCATATTCTAGAACTTTTACATTAATCCACATGTTTCACTGCATTCACCCAATTAGCTCCTCAAATTTTTTATTATTATGAAATTCCTCATGTCTCAATTTTCTTTTCATTTTTCAAGGCACATTCATCACAATGTGTCCCATTTTCATGAGTGATCATTACTTTACTTTTACTTGCATGTCATATTCCACTTTCTAGTTTACAGTATAAATAAAGAATGGAAACCCACTTGCCCAAAAAACAAAAGAATGGAAACCCTAGCTTGACTGGCACTCCCTCATCTTTTTTTGTTTTTTGTTTTTGTTTTTGTTTTTGGGCGACCCACAAACATTCCCCTCGGCAGGCGTGCGCAAGAATTGTCTACTCCACCATGAACGGACTCCTCTGTAAGGAAAACATATGACATGGTTTGTGTTTTTTAGAATTTTTTTTTTGAAAAATTAAAAATTGATTTTTTTAAAAAAATAAAAAAATATGTTCATTATTTTTATATAATTTAATCTTTATGAAAGACAGAAATAATTTTTAAAAAATTAAAAATAAATTTTTAATATTTATTTTTATCAAATTAATTATTATTATTATTATTATTTTTTTGTGTGAAAATTTCAATAAACAAAACTAAACATGGCCAAAGTTTTCTTGGGCTAAATTTATATGGTGTCATATATAATTTTCTTTTTATTGGTTAAAATATTAAGCCTGTGTTTGGCATGTGGGTTTGCAGGTTTTTTTGGCTATTTTAGCCACAAAAAACAAAATAGACTATTTTAGCCATAACAAACAAAACATCACATCCAACCCATAATCATTACATTATTCTCTCACAAAAAAATTCAAAAAAGTCAAAAAGCCAAAAAGCCCTTTCCAAACTAAGCTTTTAAGCCCAGGCTAAAATAGCCAAAAAAGTCAAAAAGTCAAAAAACCAACCCAGTTCCCAAACGGAGGCTAAGATTTATTATTTTGATGTTATTTTGGCGAGAGAATTGGACAAATAATGTCTCACAATAAATAATTTAGAATAGTGCTTTAAAATCCCCAACTAACTTCATTCGCTAGAACCAGATATATATAGAACCCAAGTAATTTTGTTTACAGCACATCTCCTTACACCCTATTTCTCATTACACTACCTTCTCATATCCTTCTAGCTCATCACACTACACAATTCTCAATATTTCCATTCCTAACGGTTTATCATCTTTTCACACCTTTTGCATTTGAAACCCTTCCATTCTTTCACCTCATTCACTTCCAACCCATCACCTCCTCTACCTTCAGCCACCACCGCCAG